TCCGTTCGGTCGTGTTTCTTCAGAGGTTCGCCTTTTGTTTTTTTTTTCTTGCTTTGCTTCATTAGATTGATTTGTTCGGAATTTGGAACGTATGGTGTGTTTCATTTCCATGAATTGCGTGAATTTTTACTTGCTTCTTGCGGTATTAGCTAGTTCTTTTCCTCTGGTTTATATTCTTATCGAACTTGAGATCTCATTCTAGTGTTGTGACAGCTTCTTATTGTTTTAGGATCATAACGATTTCTTCTTTGTAAGTTCGAAGTTTTTGGGTTCAAATTGAATGTTGTGGCGCTTTTTGGGATCTGATCGGTTCTGGAAATAGTTATTATTGGAGTTTTTTTTTTCAAATTTTCTTATCATAAAGATGAGCTTAAATTGATTTTTGGTTACTTTTTAGCATTTGAGAAAGTTGAATAAAGATTTCCCTTGGAGGTTTTGTTTCCTGTGAATATTCCAAGCAAATTCCCATTGAGACACCAAATTTTAACTTCGTGATAGGTAATGAGTGATCAAATTGAGGCTTAGCTGTAACAATACTTGCAATTTTGTATAACATGCAACTTTGAAGCCATGGTGTTTGTTTCAGAGTTTTGACCATTTGTTGTGACTGCACGTTTTTCAGATTGTTGTTCTATACTGGCCACGTTTGAGTCCCGAACCTTTACCTTTTAATTAGATTGATATCTTACTTTTTTTTAAGTTTAAAATGTTTTTAATTTGTTGCTATGGTCTGTTGGTGAAAATATGTTTTGAGTGCCGGCTTCATCCCTCATTTTAAGTTGAAAAAGAAATATACATATACTCGTGAGTGCTTTTTTTTGTATGTTGACTTTTTTTTTTCCTTTCCAAATGCAGAAATGTATAATAATGTTGAAGCTCAGTCTGCAGCTTCAAAACCTCTACCAAGCTCTCAGCCAAATCCATTTGGAAATGCATTTTATGGTGCTGGATCCGGACTAATAACCTCTACCAAGCTCTCAGCCAAATCCATTTGGAAATGCATTTTATGGTGCTGGATCCGGACTAATCCGAGGTGGGCTGGGTGCATATGGAGAGAAAATATTTGGATCAAGCTCAGAGTATGTTCAAAGCAATGTGAGTACTAGTTAATCTGTAAATTTATTACCATTCAAGATTTATAGTTCAAAAAAGGATATAGATTTCTATAAAAATGCAAAATCACAACTTGGTGAGTGTGGTTAGTGTTGTTTCTTCCTTGTTTGTGTTTCTTAAAATTCCATTACAATTTTTCTTACACAAGAAACACTTTATTTTTTCTTTTTAATTAGTGAAAGGACATAAAGCTTAATGGCTAGGACTGTTTAACAATATTTCCTCTTATCTTCTTGGGGGAATATTAATGCCTTCTATGTCTGCTCAACCGTGTAAGACTTTATAAAACTACCGAATTCACATTAATTTACAAGAGCATGGAGATAGTTAACTACATACAGAACATTTTAACTTAACCATTTATACTGCCTCTTGTAATCGTTGCTTCTATCATTAAGCATCCACTCTTTCATTTCTCTCCATGAACCCAAATGAGTTGTTTCAACTGCATTTAACCTAAAGCTCCCCAGCTCTTGAAATTATTGCCAGATAGCATCAAACTTAGGTTCTTCATTGCATCTCTGTGAAAAAGTCTAATCTAGGTTGAAGCTCTATGAAGTAGAGTGCCAACATACATATGTTTCCAGTCAAGTCTTAAAGCTTTATATTATGTGCCTGTGGGGTTCCACTACTCTAACGATCTGGGTCGTTACAACTACCTTGCTTTATAAGGATCTACGACATGTTATTTTAAGGACGAGAAATGCCCTAACAAAGGAAAGCAGTTGTGTGGACCCTTTGAGAGAGTGACCACGGCAAAAACTGAACCAAGCTGTTATTTAAGCTGCCTAGAGCAGAATTCCAAGGCCATCATTTATTTTTTCATTGCCCCTTCAGTTTGTAGTTATGATCATTTCTCTGCTTTCTTCTTTCAAAGTTTTTAATGTACTTGGAGACTGAGTCGAAGAAGGTATGGAGCTATTGTTTTGTGTAATGGATTCAAAGAGGGGAGATGAAAAGCTATGACATTGAGGCATAATGTGCAGAAAACCTTTTGTGTGGAGTTCTGTTTTTAAGATATGAGAATATTCAAAGTTCTTAAGTTGGCAAGAGGTTCTAGATCTAATTGAATTGCATGCCTATAGTTGGTGTGCCTTTTCTGTTATTTTACGACATAAACTTTTCAACTAATCAATGAAAGTGTTTTTTCCCCTCACCCCCACCCCCACCCCCAAAATAAAAAATAAAAAAGAAAAGAAAAGAAAATTTTATTTGTTTATATGAAGACTTGTTCATAATGCTTTCTAAACATTTTTTTAATCCTTATCTCATTCATGGATGATGGACTTGATCCTCTCTTCTTTGTTAAAATCTTGCAAGTAAGATGAATACCTTCTATTGATTGGGTGCTTTGAAATTCTCAAGCATGAGCCTAAATTTTTCTGTTCTCAGATGATAGAAGGCATTTTCTTAGCCTTTTTTGAATTAGGTTTTCATTTTTTAATTTTATTTTTGCAATGGACAGATAAGTAGGTACTTTTCTGATCCTCAATACTACTTCCAAGTGAATGACCAGTATGTGAGGAATAAATTGAAGGTTGTCCTATTTCCATTTCTACACAGGGTATGTACTAATCTTATAATTTCTTGTTGATTTTAGTTGCCCTTACTCTCTCCTCATTATTCCTTACTTGGCGTATTGCTTTGTTTTAGGGCCACTGGACAAGAATAACTGACCCAATTGGAGGCAGACTTTCGTATAAGCCACCAATTTATGATATCAATGCACCAGACTTGTACATTCCGTTCATGGCTTTCGGTACTTATGTTGTTCTTGCAGGCTTCTCACTTGGTCTTCAAGGAAAGTGAGTGCAAATACGTCTTCGGGTGTACCATCATTATAATCCTTTTTTTCTTATTTTAAAACATGAGTGGAAAATGACAACGATTTACAACTGAACAAAAAAGAAACATAAAACCAAAGGAGCCAAAAACTCCTTCTCAACTATTGCATGACAAGAACTGTTGCATGTTCCAATCTCTCAAAAGCACATTTACACAAAATACATATAAATCTTAGGTTATTTTATTTATAATTTTGACGCCCAATAGAAAGGCCCAAGAATATTAAGTTCTTTGCCGTGGAGATCTGCATGAGCGAACACCTTTTTGGGGCCGTAGTGGTGCTCTTTGCCAAGGTGCTTTAAAGGATCTTGACAGTATCTTTTGAAGTTGCAATTATGCTTAGTCTATGGTCTAGATTTTGGGATGTGGAGGCCAAATAGTTAATAGGCGCTCATGTTCTTCCTTTCACCTAGAGTTTCCTCTGTGACCTCAGCGGCTACTTAAGAATTCAATATTGTTTGTGGCTGATTATATTGCTGATGCGTACATGTCTTTCTTCAAGGGTACTAATGAAACTTTTGAAAGTTCAAGGGTGTATTTTAACGGTTTCCATTCAACTTTGTTTTACACTTTCAACTTTTGTTGTGCTTATCTTTCTCAGATATCCTTCTAGTATTCATTTCAACTAGACATTCAAGAATGAGAATTATTAACATTTTTTATTTTCTAAAATCATTATAGGTTTACTCCAGAAGCTTTGAGTTGGTTGTTCATCAAAGGATTGCTTGGTTGGTTTATGCAAGTCATGCTGCTTAAAGTAACACTCTTATCACTAGGATGTGGGGAGGCACCATTACTCGATATCGTTGCATATGCTGGATATGCGTTTACCGGATTGTGTCTAGCTGCCATCGGAAGAATATCGTTGAAGTACTCTTACTATTTTCTGATGCCATGGACAGCCTTATGCATGGGAATATTCTTGGTGAAAACGATGAAGAGAGTACTATTTGCAGAAGTGAGGAGCTATGATTCAAGCAGGCATCACTATCTCTTGCTCTTTATTGCCTTGGCTCAGTTCCCACTCTTCACTTGGCTTGGCAATGTGAGTGTCAACTGGCTTATATAAGTACAATGTTTCTGTATTTTTTTTTTCTTAGAAGCATGTCCTTAGCCATCTTTAGCTTTAGCAAAACCTTATGAGGAGATCAACAAATAACTGCTCTGCTCTTTGTGCTTCTAGTTTACACGATTGTAAAAGTTTTTGTATTGGTTTCTTCTACAGTTCATTAGAATTATAGTATATTGTTTTCTTTTACCTCTGAAGAAAAGGTAGGAGGTAACATGCTGATGATGATGAACAAGTGTCATAGTTTCCTGTTGTGTGATCTGAATATGAACAATATATAATGTTATCTTAATACATAGGTAGAAAATGTTGCGGATGCTTTGTGCACATGGACGTTTTTCCTGACTACGACCTTACTTGAACAAGATTTGAACAAGATCTATTCTATAGGCGTTATAATTACTAATAGAATAATATAAACACATTTTCTCGTCATCGAAAATCTTTTTAAGTTCTTAACTATCCTAATTTAAACTAATAATATAAACACATTTTCTCGTCATCGAAAATCTTTTTAAGTTCTTAACTATCCTAATTTAAACTCTCGTTTGATCATGAAAGATGTCTCCATTGAGGATAAGACAAGAAGTTTGACGGTTTGAATGTCTTTTATCAGCTAAATAAAATTTATTATATCCCATTTTTTTTCAGTGAAAACTCGACTTTTTTATATTAAAAAGACTTTTTTTTTAAGATGGTTTAAGGTGCATTTTATTCGATTTTTTTAATAATTTATAAAAAATTAAAGAAACTCTTATAATTTCTAAACTTAATTTATAAAAATAAAAATCAAAGCGTTACATATTAAATACAAATAACAAGATAAAAATTTAAAATTAAAATGACAATATATAGAGATTTACAGAATTTAGACACTCTCTCTCCCTGTACGATGGCACAAAACATTTCATTCTCACAAGAACCATTGATGGCAAACCAATTGTGAGCCTATAAACCCTAATTCCAAGCTTCCTTTTGGTCATATCGTCACAAATTCCTCCGACCACTCCACTAGCTGATCGCTTGACCTCTTTCATCGACCTCTTCATCTTTCCCTTTAAACCATCATCTATCTTAGTGAAGTTGTAGCCCTTTAAAAAATCTCGTCGTGAACGCCAAAAATCCCGATCATGACGCCTATTTACTTCGTAACCTTGCATGGCACCTGCATGAGAACAAAACTAAGAACATATATGTTGTTTCAGCTCAATAACAAGTAGACGTAGAAATTCAAACCTCTGATCTTCTAGGTAATTAAGGTTATAACACTGTATACGTTGGCTGACAAGATGAGCTTGTCGGTAAATGAATATGAATAACACCACACACACATATATATACACACACGTTGAGAAGTACTTGGATGTCCAACTTCTTTGTCTTCTTATTTTAACAATTGTTTAGTTTGGTAAACCAAAGAACATTTTTGTCATTGTGTGGTTGTAACTCTCTTATTCTTTGTGGCTAACTTCACAAACACTCAAATGGAGAAATGTTAAAGTGGGTTAAGTTTGGTTTAGGTTAGTTAAGAGTGGTGGAACCAAAATTAAGACCCTTTAATCATGTATTTAATTGAAATTTGTGGCTTTTTTTACACTTTTTTTAGTGTGTAAATCTTCATTATAACTTGAAGATTAGATCATGAACATTACTAATTACTTCATCTTCCAAAAAGCAAACGATTTTGGAATCAATGATGAGAAATGAGAATGAAAAAAAAGACATCATTCTATTATCAGGATCGCTCTCATTCGAATATGATCTCAGTTCATTCATGTACCCCTACTTTACTAGGATGTCACATGCCCACCAACTTTCGCCTTGATTCGTCCTTGAACCACATCTTATTGGAGGAGGTATCACTGTGATACCATTCATAACGATCCATATCCAAGATTCGACACCTAATAACCCCAACATTCTCTTGTATCTCCTGCAACATGGTCGCGTTACCTAATACTCGCTTCTTAAGAGCAAAAACTATCCTCATAGACCAACACAAATTTATATAGCATGTTTTTCCCACTCATATGTATCTTAGAAAAATTTCTCCATGCAAAACACGCTTAATTATGAAGTTCCTATGATTAAACTATCGGTGTAAGTAATAACTTTCATTTTCTTTAAGCATTTTTTAGTCATCTTATTATTTGGATCGTTTTCATTCAAATGTCGTCCCGATTCATTCGTATATCTCTTTTATTCTAATACTACACAGTATAATATTTTAAAAGTAGAGAATTATTTTTTATTATATGATCATAATCATATAAATATTAAATACATTGTATGTATGCATGCATATATCTATTGATGTTGAGATTGGTGTACCCATGACTCCACGTGTCTCCTATAATTGAGGACACTCTTTGCTATAGCCGCCTCATTTGTCGTTTTCTCCATTTTACTTTTTTCCTTTTTCTGAGAAAAAAAATTATTTAAACATTTTTTTTTAGTTTTTTAAAAATTAAATTTATTACTGCCAAAATGCACCAACAATTTGAAGTTTAATGACGTGGCATAGTATTTAAATTTTTTAAAACTCAATTACATCATTACATTTCATATCATATAGTATTTAATTATTTTTGTTCACAATAATTCACCTAACATAAATATCATATTCATACATAATTGAATTAAAAATAATAATAATAAAAATTAACGGGACCTCACAATTTATCCTCTGAGTCTCAATCGTTGATACATCGTCCAGTGTCTAGCTCTTATATCAATTGTAACAGTCTAAACCCACTACTAGTAGATATTGTTTATTTTGACCCGTTACGTATCACTATCAATCTCACAGTTTTAAAACACGTATGTTAGAGAGAGGTTTCCATACCCTTATAAGAAATACTTCGTTCCCTTCTCCAGCTAATGTGAGACCTCACATATCGTCCCTTTCGAACATTAGAATCCACTCATACTCAGATAGCGTTTTTGCCAATGTGCAACCAATACCGACTCATACTCAAATCGTTACTACTAACAGGTAGTCGATGGTGCCGTCTCCTATAGTCCTCTAATAAAAAATTTGTGAATTGAATAAAAAAACCAATAAAATTAGACCGGACGACACCCGTATAAAATAGCAAAATATAAAAAGCAAGGCTCTCGGATCGACATGTCGTTATTTATTTTTAAAACAGATAATTCACTTAAATTGAATAATAATATTAGAAAAACCTTGTTCACTTGCTATCTCTTGCCTTGTTCCTCAAGGAAAGGCTATCTCACTACTCTGCTTCCCCCGTTTCCAGGATCCAGTTCTGTGCAGTGTGACAGTTGGTGTTTCACATTTTGAGAGATGTGCCCTCTGGGTTCAAGTCTTGTACTACCCCTTCTATGGAAGTGGTGGGGCTGGAGATTACGACGGTGATTACACGGAAGAAGACTCTAATATTATCAGACAAAAGAGAAGCTTAAGGCCAGAGCTAGGAGAACCTGTGATTTTGAGGTGTCTTCCTTACAAGATCCCGTTGACTGAGCTTCTCTCGCCGCATAAAATATCTCCTGTTGAGTTTTTCCGCCTATGGCCCAGCTTACCTGCAATTGTAGAGTATACTGGCACTTACACTTATGAGGGAACTGGCTTCAAGGCTACTGCTGCGCAGCAATATGGAGCATCTCCTTTTTTGAGTGGATTGAAATCTTTGTCCACCAAGCCTTTCCATAGTGTTTGCTCATATATTATTCGAACTTTGGCAGGGTTTCAGGTGAGGTTCTGTGCTCTCTTTTATATGTTTTACTCACTAAGCTCTCGCTCCCTT